AATTCAGGCTATTTGTTGCCATAGCAACCAGAATTTTCAACATAGGAAAATAAAAGACTGCCATCTACCCATATTTCAAGTTTCATAAAAATATTTTCAGTACTTTTTGAGTTATCACTGGATCCAGTTTATGTGTTAAATTTGCCATATTTTCAGACTATTTGTTGCCATAGCAACCAGAATTTTCTACATAGGAACAAAAGAAAAAGATGTGCATAATCTCCATACTGCCATCTATCCATATATCAAGTTTCATAAAAATATTTTTAGTACTTTTTGCATTATCGCGGGATCCAGTTTTGTGGACTGACAGACAGACAGACGGACGGAGGGTAAACCTAAAGTCCCCTCCGGTTAAACCGGTAGGGGACTAAAAAGAGTTTTCTTCTTTTAATTTCAATAGGTCTGTCACATTTCTCGTTTTGTCTAAGTATGAATCCTTTCCATAAATAAATGACAAAGTTAAGAAAATATAATAAAAATTCAATCATTTGATTGTCCAGATCATTTCAAGGTCAAGATCATATCTAAATTATTCCATATGTCTGTTTGTTTTGTCCACTTTAGAATCAAATCCATACATAAATATCATTATAATGACAATTTAACCAAAATTCGATAATTGAACCTTGACAGTCAACATCATTGAAAGGTCAAGGTCAGTCAAACCTTTTAAAACGTCTTGTCCAAAATGTTGTTTTGTCAAAGTATGAAGATAACCTATTTATTAATTATCAAGTTACAGTCAATTATAGCAAATATCAGTAAAATTCAATAATTTAACCTTCAAGGTCATGGTCATCAAAGACACCCGGTCAATTTGAGTTTTTATTATTATGATGATCTTATACTAAAGAATGTTCTTTTAAAAAATAAAGTAAATCCAAAAGCCCAGGTCAATTTGAGTTTTATTTTCATGAAGAATGTTCCTTTAAAAATGAAGTAAATCCGTGACCTGTGAAAGATGGACAAGATTTTTCTATTAATAGCTCTGACGGCCATTTTGTACATTGAAGCGGAACATGCCAGTAACACAACTAGGGATGGTACTGATCACTTCTGTAAAGTTTGGTTGAAATCCCACCAGTAGTTTGACCTGTGAAGGGCGGACAAGCTTAATGCTGAGGGACGGACGGACAACCGGACAAATGTATGGACAGACAGAATTAAGGTTAAGGTCATTCAAATTTTATGAGTGAAGGTCAATTGTATCTAGTTACCTTAAAGGTCTATCCTTAAAGATTGTTGTTTTCAAGTTTTAAGACAATCCATTTCAAAATTACATCGTTACTGCAACTGATGTATATGTGGATATTTTCACATGTCCGAAAAGTTAGTGAAATAAAAATTCTAGACATTTCGCGTGAACGAAGTTGTTGACGGCAAGGGGAATGCCACCATTACTATAAAATATGATAAACAAGATCAACAAGGAAAGGCAGCGTTCAATGAATGCAACCCCCATACGACCCAGAAACAAGAACCTGAGTGGCAAGGAGCCCAGGCGGATTCATAATTTTGATATGAAACATTGTCTTGTCTGTTATAATAAAAGCACTCGATCGGGTCAAATTGCCTTGCCCCGGGGGAACATAGATATGTCTATAGTAAACACTTAAAAAACAACTCCTTTTTTACCTACAAAAACTAAACCTTAGTTTCCATAGCAACCAGTGACTTCATAGCAGCCATTGACTGGCCACCATTTTCATTTCTCAAGGTATCAACTTCAAACTTCAAATATATGTTCCTTATCATTAACCACACCTTATGTGACAAGGTTCATAACTCTAGCACCAATATTTTCAGATTTATCTCCCCTTGAACTTAGAATTTTCCTTAAAAAATACTATATTTTACTGTTACTTCTTTATTTCTTAAGATATCAATTTCATACTTCAAATATATGTCCCTTATCATCAACCACATCTTATGTGACAAGGTTCATAACTCTAGCACCAATATTTTTAGATTTATCTCCCCTTGAACTAAGAATTTTCCTTAAAACTGTTACTTATTTATTTCTTAAGGAATCAACTTCAAATACTTCATACTTAAAATACATGTATGTGTTCCTTATCATAAACCATATCTAATGTGACAATGTTCATAACTCTAGCATCAATATTGCTAGAATTATCTCCCCATAAACTTAAATTTTTTTACTTGAAAAATGTTATTTTTTACTATAACTTCATTAGTTTCAAAGGTAACGATCTACCTCAAACTTCAAATACTTATTCCAAGGTTCATAACTCTGGAAGAAATATTTTCAGATTTAGCTCTCTTTGAACTTACAATTTTCTTTAAATAACTTCTTTACTTTTTAAGGTATCTACTTCAAACTTCAAATATATATTACTTATCATTATACACATGTTGTGAGACAAAGTTCTATCTCTAGCATGACAATTTCCATAATTATTCCCCCTTGAACTTGGAATTTATGTTAACAAATGTTATTTTTTTACTGTATCTTAATACATAATTATACATAGTTGATTTTTCTTTCCTAATTTTGTCTTCCTTACTGAGTCTAGTATTTTATAAGTTGAGCTTCGCTGTCTTCTGTGTCAGCTCTTGTTATATACACTTACAGATATCTATCTGCTTTTGCTTATAGTTCCTAAAGTCATGGAGAAAAATTACATTCAGGTGGGTGATATTAGAGTCATCATGGCCCGCTTCCACTTGCAGTTTGTAATTAATTTATTTGTTTACTTCACAACATTTCACTTTTAAAGTAGAATGTGACTCTTTGCGAACTTTCGAGTAGTGCCTTGAAAATTGGCATGTAAAAAAGTTGACCATGTTTAAGATTAAAAAAAATAAACTCTCAACTCTTAACACAATGTAGAGTAATTTTTCTTCCATTTTCATATTCTTTGGAGGAGTCTGTGTCAACTACTGTGGACAATATATTTGAAGTGACTCAGCCATGTGAATACTAGTCTTGCTCTGCTGCCAAAGAGTTAATTGACAGTCTTTTCATTGTCTTGAAGTACTCTGTTTGGACAGTTCACATTTTGACAAAATTGTCTTTTTGATTAATTTGTGTAGCCTATTTTTCTTTCTAGTCGTTGTTTACTTGAAACTTTTTTTTTTTTTACATATTGGCCAGGCGATTGCAGATCTTCACATACAGTTGTCAATCTGACTAAATTGCTCATATCATCATAATAATGCAAGAATGTAATTCCTGAGTTTTTCTTCCTCTTTTCCTTTGCACTTCTGAAAAAGACAATTTGGAAAAAAGGTTACATGTTTTCTTAAGGTGGCAATTTTTCCTCTTCAGGGCACAATTTCAACAAAATTTATCATATGGTTTTGGACATATGCATGCCTTCATTTCAAAGGCAATAACATAGTATGGGCCAGACTGACCTCCCCCCACCACAATTTTTTCATCAATTTATTTTTCAATTAATTGGTGGTTAATCATGCAAAGTTTAACAAATTCTCTGTCATAGTAAAAAATTTCCTCCGTTTTCTTTATTATCATAATGTATACTCAACTACTAAAAGTATTTATTTGAATGTTAATAGATATCTTTGGGATCCTAATTAGAGGTCATTATTCATTCCATAACTCTAGTATTGATTTTGACTGAATAATGGCCCTTTTAAAACTTTGAAACTTTTTAACTATTGTAGGTTATCACTTGAAACTTAATAGATGTCTTTGTGATCATAACTGGGGGTCACTTTATAATCCAAGGCCAATCCCTCTGAAATGGATTTTGACTAAGTTATGGCCCTTTGTGAATTTAGACAATTTTTGGTTGAAGTATTGCTAAAAGTGCAACATTGATCTTTCAAATTGCCCTGGATTGCTCACCTGAGATTCATTGCTAGAAAAGGTCACAATTTCAATTTTTCAATTTAAAGTTCATGCTAGAGTTATTGGCTTTGGCAAGTGACATATTATGCTCTCAAGTAAATGCATGACGTTTCAACCAATTCCTTTCTTTGGTTTTGAAGATATTAATTTAACCAAAGTGTGACACCTGGTTGAGTAAAATAGCTCCCCTATTCTTCAATTTGAATCAAATAGTCAATAATTCACAATATGAATATAAAGTGTCATTAAAAAACTGGAAGTTTTTGTAAGAAAGAACCAACATTACTTGTCCCATAATAGGGAACACAGCTTTTCATACACAGTTTATCCATTATTTTATTCATATAAAGAATTCTGTAGATTTCAATGAATCCTATGATTACAATATTTTACTCAAGAATGAGTACAGTATATCTTTAACCTAAATTACATGTGTCACACTTGTAGACATAATTATGATAGTTATCATTTGTCATACAATCCATCAATAAAACTGACTAAATAGTCCCTGTACTCATCTTCTGTTTCTATCTTAATTCTGACAACTCTATGTGGGTGTACAGACATAATCCCCTTCGGACAAAATCCCCTTCATGTATTTTTGTATATCTGGATACAATCCCCTCCAAGGGTGGACATAATCCCCTTCATGTGTGAAATTTTGAAGTGGACAAAATCCCCTTCATAAAATTGCTACCTAGGATAAAATCCCCCTCAGATGAATTTTCGGTTTATAAAGTGGGTATGAGAGCAACATACTGCATAATATGATGTGTGGTAAATATCTTAATGTATAAATAAAAAGAAAATATTTCAGCAGAAAAGCACATTCAATTAGCACATTTAATGACATTAAAATTGCTTTCTTAACAATCAATCAAGTATTGCAGTGATCTTGGTTTGATTAAGTTATCATTCTTTCATCAATAGAAATTTTAACAATGGATAATATGTATCAGTTAGAAGTATCAACTTATACAATCAATGAAACAATTATTGGCTAATAAAAATGTTTTTCATACTAATCAATTTAAGACAATTAAAGAAATTGCCTAATCAAATATGTGTTATGCAGTTGATAATTTAAACTTCTAAACTAAATAAAGGTTAAGTTCCAGGGTTCCCACGGTCAGGGAAAAGTCAGGGAAAATTGATTTTTTGGGGGCGCAAGCCCCCAATGTAATTACGATAAATTCAGCTTACTACCCTTTGAACGCGTTTAGGCTATCTAGCTGCGCTGAGCAAAAATAGTTCCAATATTTTGCCATAATATTCAGATCATCATTATACCGTATCTATTTTGAAATTGACTGGTCATTTTATTACTAAATTTTAAATCCTTTTATCACAAAATTACATATACCATTGCTTTACGCGATTTGAATATTACTACGCTAGCAGTCGATAAAAATTTAATGAGAACCAGTTAATTTGTTCTACCTTCTGGTTCCCGATGCACGAGAGCCAAAGTACTTGCATACATTTGGTGCCAATTTTATCAAGTCATGAATTAACTAACTATCATAGAACACAATAATTCAGGAAAAATGAAATACGATTTTCATATTAGATAACTTTCAAGCTTAAAATGGTTAAAAAGTGTGAATGACAGAGTAAAAATTTGTATGCGTATGAATACGAACTATATTCCCTCTGACGTCATTTTCCCGAAATCGCCATCTTGGTCAGTTATTCCGAGAAAAGGCTGAGAAGATTTGCTATCAATTACGAAGTCCCAGCTATTACGTTGATATTTTGGTTGCAATCTATTCCGTATGTATAATCAAGTTTTCTTCACAATCTGGTAAAGCTATTGATATATTTCGCTTGATAGACTGCAAATTTAAGTGCATTACAAACTCGGCCCTAAAACGTACTCGGCCCCGAGTCAGCTCGGCCTTTTTTCAACTCGGTCCACTTTTCAATTTATTAACATATTGGTTTGTTTTATCACTCTTTATTGTTGAAACCACATAATTAATATCTGGACTTATTCAGAAACATGGAAAGATATTTTCTTAAATTATTATTACATTTTTGACTACTTTTTGAACACATCTCTATAACTCAATTTACTGTATTAGCTATCTAAGCTAAACAAAATAGGCCCAAAACTTGTCATGGTATACAGGTAAAATATTATAATTGGTGAAAAATGATAGTTTTCATTTTTGTGATCATGATTTTTGCAAGCGACTGGAGGTACTGCCCCAGCCCTGTAATGAATAAAATCCTATCCTAGAGGTCCCAAAATTTTAAAGGACTGGTAATAATAATAATTGTTAAATACAATATGACTTAAGTTCAGATATAGGGGCCTACTTATTTCATACATGTAGATCTGATTTCCACAGTTTTGCCTTCATCAGATGTAGGATTTCATATTTATGGTCAGTCCATAATTTTATAGATTTTTTATTTGTAAATTTATAGACATTTATATGAAAAAAGTAGTTGTATTAAAATTCAAAACCACAGGTCAATAATAATAAGATTACTGATTATATTATTAAATATAACAGATTCCAGATAATGTGAGTATCGGCGTATTTTACGCTTTAAAATCAACTAAAAACGTACAACGTTACCAATTTGTTGCGTTCATTTACGCACTCTGTAAATTTATTACGCAAAGAATGTAAATTTGAAGCGTTTTTGGTGTGTACTTTCATTTTCGAAACAGCTGATTGACCGCTTCCATTAACAGTTGACTGTGTATCTATTTCCAATTAATACCCGTCAAGATACTTTCAACTATTTTTCTCTGTAAACCAGTCAAATAACGTCTTTATTGCTTAGGTGCTTGATAAAACAATTGTTCTATTTTTCTTGATAATTGCAAGGATTTATTAATACACATGTAGTGCATGGTTGCTTCAAGGGCTAATCAAATTGACATTTTTTTCACACAAAATTTTACTCGATAGATTTTTGATCTATTTAAATTTACCCCCACATTCTGGAAAGTGGGGGTAAGTAATTACCCCCAGTGTCAAAAAATTATCTGGAACTCTGTATAACAGTATGGTAATATTTAGAACTGATGACTATCAATTTTTACTTTAAACAAAAATTTAAAAGTCATCATACACTGATGAAACTGACCTCATTACCTTTGTTGATATAAACTATCAATAAAAACAACTTGTCTTTAGCAGTGGAATTTATATACATCATATTAAGTCATCATTACTTTTATTTTTTAACATCTATATGATTATTATACTAATAGTATTCAAAAATTTTGTTGATGGAAGTTTATGAATTGGTAGAGGAAGGAATAATTAATCATGGAAGTGGCTAGCAGTATGAACCAGTATTGTTTGACAAAAGTGCTGGCTGTATGCGAGTCGCATACGACTAGCATATACTCACTGTTGAGGCTAGCTGTACAGCCACAGGAGCCTGAAATTATATCAAAAACAAAAAAAAATAACGATTTAAAAAAATTTCCCATATATATACTATAAAAAAGTTTTTTATAGTATATATATGGGAAATTTTTTTAAATCGTTATTTTTTTTGTTTTTGATATAATTTCTGGCTCCTGTGGTACAGCATTTTAAAAATGAGTTGCCTAAAACAATAATATGCAAACTTGTTTTTCTAAAAGAAGATTTTATTGAATATCATATACAATTTCAGTCAATGCGAAAGTCAAAAAAAAATTCCTGCCGCAAGGACTTGAATCCTTAGATTTATTTCCGGCTCTGATGATTTTTTACCGGCCCGGACTCTGAAAGGTTTTTTTTGTAGTGATGGGGGAGGGATATTGCCATAATTATAAAGAAAAATATTTAGCATATATGAATTGTCAGACTCAACTATAAGATACTATGAAAAAAAAATACAGAAACATATTTAATAAAACATTAGCATAATTCACAAGAAAACAATACATCTTTCAAAGGTTTAATTTGAAGATTGGAGAAAAAATATGTTTTGGTAAGGAAATTATCAAAGACAAGATGGTGGCTGACATTACTTAGCAAAAACTGGTCGTATCCTGCGGTGATTTTGGTTATCTTGGTCTGTGAATACAAGCAAAAATTAAAAAAATAGATTGATCTTGGAAGCTTTGCATATTTTAGAAGGCCAAAAATTGTTTTAAACTGGCTGAAATTTTATTTGGACATGACAACTGACTGTATCGAAATTTATCTCGGCCCTACTGATTTTTAGTTGGCGAGGTCCGAGGACCGACAGTCTTTCGCACAGACTGCAATTTACAGTTGGTATAGTAATTTTTAGTGTTTGATGATCAGAAGATTTGTTTTCCTTCTGAAAATCATGGAGTTGAATAATTTAAATCTGTGTGAAAGCGCAAAGAGAAAGAGACTGAAAATTAATTTATTATTTCTATGGACAATATAGATGTAATACATTTGTAATCAAACATGTGGGTCAATTTCCAACAGTAGTTGAATTTATATGACAAAGTATTTTTAATAATTTTATTTCACTTTTAGCTACTTGAAATTTCATGCTGGATTTTGCTTACCATTACATTTTGCATAAGAGCTCTATGATTGACATTAAAGTCCACGGGCCAATTCATTTCTGATATATCTTTCCGATATCTTGTTATAATATAAAAGGCTGAACGTCATCATAGAATTATTAGGAAAAAATATATATGTTCATTCTTTGTAAAAATGTTAGAAGACTTGCAAGTTACTGATTTTATCATTGCATTGATTTTCTTTATTATTGAAAAATGCTGAACGGCTATCCTCAACAGTGTGTATAGGCTAGAACTTTCAGTTTGCATTTTAGGGTCATGACGGCTTTCCCGTTGCTGTCAACAAACTAACCTTTTTCATAACTTTTCAGATCTTGGTGTATTGTCTTCATACTTGGCCACAACAACCCTTCAAATAGACCAGACTAACTTGACCTCCATATAAACATTCAAGGTAAAATATTTAAATTTTCTTGATTTTTGCTATTAGTGGCTATGACTTTGTTATTTTTGAATGGATTGTCTTCAAACTTGTACGCAACAATCTTTTAGGATAGGACCTGATTCACTCATTAATGTCCTTGAAGCTTTTGTGATGAGAAGTTGTGCAGAAATAATACAAACCCAGAAACAATTTCATTTACTTGGTTTTGCAACTTTTGAGACAATGGATTTTAAAGATAGTTGTTTTTCTTAAAATTTCAGGACAGTATAGTAGATTGTAAAGACATTTAGTACATACTGTATATACACTATAACTACTATAGTATACTATAAAAATCTTTGTGCTTGGACAATTTTTGAACAAATTGTTTCTTAAACAGTGTAAGAAATTAGGATTTGAATCGACTAGTCTGGTCGGACTACCAGATTGGAATATTCACTAGCCCAAAAGACATTTCACTGGCACGATTCATTTGTTCAAAACAGTTGTTTATATTGCCTCTGAAAATACAGTAGCCTGGTCGGCTTGTTACTGTGAAAAGTTGGTAGCCCGAGGAAAATTTAGTAGTCAGGCCCTCGGACTACTGCTAATTTCGAACACTGCTTAAATTATTGATTTGATATCAACTAACATAATTATTGGGATACTATATGTATATCTAATAATAATTATATTTTATCTTTCCAACTTTCTGTTTCAGATGTTCGGCCTACATGTCAGATTTGTGAATGTGAACGGCAGGATATCGAGTTTAAGGATGCTTTAGGGTCAATGAGAATGAAATCAAGAGAGATAAAGGCTAAAATGTGAGACTGTCAATCTGACAAACCTTGCAGTGAATAAATGGTAAAATGTTTCTTTCAGTAGCATGGCATTTAAGGAAGCGGTACATGATTATTTAGAAGTGGTTGTATATATGATATTTTCTTAATTATTATTATATTCTAATGGCTTTTTTTCTTGACTTGTTTAAAGGCTGACACAGGACAGTTTATTTTAAGTCAGTGAGCTTCTGTCACTGGATAAAATCCAAATTTATAAAAAGGAATTACAGTGTATTTAAATATCATCTTATACTAGAAATTAGGAACAAAAATAATAGCAAGAACAATTGTGACATGTAACATGTATTTAGGAATTCAGCTTTTCTTTCCTTTTCACCTCAGGAGAATTCACATTAAAATATTGAATATTCACAGTAAGCACTCCGACATATCTGACATATATGATTATCTTATCTACACTTAGCTATCTATAGGTTATCAGAATCACTCACATTTATAAATTTAAATAATTTTGAAAAATTGCTGTTTAGCAAATAGATGAAATACTTGGGGTGTCTGTGGTGGATTGGTTGACTTTGAACCTATTAAGCCTTTCACTGCTGTAGGTTCGAGCTCTGCAAGGGTTTATGGATTATTTCATGTGAGAAAGCTATCCAGCTTATTTATGGAACATTGATGGTACCCAGGTGCCTGAAATCATACACATAGGTGCACCAAGGTCTTCCTCAACCAGTAAAGCTGGAAATTGTGCTTTAAATTGCTCTCCCCCCCCCCCTCCCCAAACAAAACAACAAAAATAATGGCATTTTTATTTTGCAATTAACTTTTTCTAAACAAATATTTCAGGAAACAGTGCGTTTGTATGATAGAACAGTAATAGCAGGAGTGATAAGGAACAGATGCATGTAGATGTGTCTTCATGTCGGAAACACTACTAGAGAAATTGAAATATTTGGGTTTTTTTCAAAACTTAAAGAAATTGGAATACCAGGAGACTGCTTGCCCTTTGCAATGTTGGATGATGTGATGTCGAAAGCCCCATGAATATAGTAACTTGACTTAATCTAATAAGAAAAAGAAATGACATTGAGGAAAAAACTAGTCACCAGTCTTTCACCAAGAACATGAGATAACTTTCCCAATATTTGAAATATCATAATATGTATAGAACTTTAATGAGCGAACAGTTTTTCACCAGGAAAATAAGATCACTTATCTATTTTTGAAATATGTATGAACAGAACTCTATCAACTTCAAGGTGAGAGTTTATCACAAAGAACATGAGATAACCTATGTATGAACAGAACCACATTTGTATATAAAAGGCGCCAGTCATCACCAAAGAAGATGAGCTAACTTATCAATGTTTGAAATCTGTTATAACCCCCGCACAACAAAAGTTGTAAGGGGGTATACTGGAATCAGCTTGTCCGGCCGTCGGGAGTTTGTCAGTTTTTTCTTGTCCGTCCAATAACTTAAGATTCCTTTGACCCACAGTCTTCATATTTGGCATGGAGGTAAGTCATGATTAGTAGATGACCTCTTTTAATTTTGAGAACACCAAGTCAAAGGTCAGGTCACAGGGTCTTGACTGAAGAAAGCTTTTCTGCCCAATAACTTAAGAATCCTTCGACCCACAGTCTTCATTTTTTGGCATGGAGGTTAGTCATGATTAGTAGATGACCCCTATTTATTTTCAGGTCACCAGGTCTAAGGTCATGGTCACAGGGCCTTGGCTAATTAAAGCTTGTCCTCCCAATTACCTAAGAATCCTTTGACCCGTAGTCTTCATATTTGGCAATGGAGGTTAGTCAAGATTAGTGGAATACCTCTATTGATTTTGAGGTCACTGGGGCAAAGGTCAAGGTCACAGGGGCTTTTTATTACAATTAGCTTGTCTGCTCAAATGGTCTTATATATTCATCATAAAACACCTCCAGGCAAGGCTGCATGAAATGGGGGGGGGGTGTTATTGAAGTCATTCAATGGCAGTTTCAGTTTTGAGGTCAGTAGGTCAAAGGTAAAGTTCACTTTGATCTTTTCCACTAAAACATGTAGAATACATAACTTAGCAATGCACTGGCTTACTTCCCTCAGATTTGGCTGGGAGGTTGTCTGAGCTGTAAATGACTACTGGTGTGATTTTCTGACAAATTGGTATGTGGGGGTATTCACGCCATGACAATGGCAGTTCTAGTTTGTAACAGAAAATATCAAGGTGCAAGTTTCTTTTATAAGAATAGACTTATTGATTAGATAACTTACAATATTTACAAACATTTAAAATACCATACCCATTTAAAGTATTTCAGCTGAGAGTGTATTATCCAAAATACATGTATTGTTATAATGTAACTTTATAGTATATTTATTGTAAAGTTTTGATTCTACTAGATTTTTAAAAACATTTAGATTTTACTAGATCTTGAAAAATATTTTGTTCCATGCTCTTTCATTTAATTTTGAATAATGAAATCAATAAATACCTATAATAAGTATAGGATTAAAATTGATAATGTTTTCTATCTTTAACTTATATAAAGTACAAAAGTAATGTTTCAAACTGCTGGTTTAGATTTCAAACAGGACTAAACAGGAGTGTACAGTGCCATCCTTAGTTGTGCACATTGTTGGCATGTTCTCATCGTCAGATACCCACGGCCGAACCATTAACATTCATCATTGATTGCATGTTATGTGAACATGTTTATCAATCGTGGGTATCCGACAATGGCATGTTCTGTTTCTCTGCACAAAATAGCCCCAGAGTTAAAAAAAGGAAAATCTATCACATGTAAAACTGCCAAAATTCAAAAGAGTGATCAGAACCATACACAGTTTTGGGGAGACATGTTTTTGTGACAAAAGCCCTTCAAGTTCATATATGACCTTGACCTTTATTAGTCCCCTACCGGTTTAACCGGAGGGGACTTTAGGTTTACCCTCCGTCTGTCTGTCTGTCCGTCTGTCAGTCCGTCCGTCCACAAAACTGGATCCCGCGATAACGCAAAATGTACTGAAAATATTTTAATGAAACTTGATATATGGATAGATGGCAGTATGGAGATTATGCACGTCTTTTTTTTTTCTTCCTATGTTGAAAATTCTGGTTGCTATGGCAACAAATAGCCTGAAAATATGGCACATTGAACACATAAACTGGATCCCGCGATAACGCAAAAAGTACTGAAAATATTTTTATGAAACTTGATATATGGATAGATGGCAGTATGGAGATTATGCACGTCTTTCTTTTTTCTTCCTATGTGGAAAATTCTGGTTGCTATGGCAACAAATAGCCTGAAAATATGGCAAATTGAACACATAAACTGGATCCCGCGATAACGCAAAAAGTACTGAAAATATTTTTATGAAACTTGATATATGGATAGATGGCAGTATGGAGATTATGCACGTCTTTTTTTTTTTCTTCCTATGTGGAAAATTCTGGTTGTTATGGCAACAAATAGCTGAAAATATGGCAAATTGAACACATAAACTGGATCCCGCAATAACGCAAAAAGTACTAAAAATATTTTTATGAAACTTGATATATGGATAGATGGCAGTATGGAGATTATGCACGTCTTTTTTTTTCTTCCTATGTTGAAAAATTCTGGTTGCTATGGCAACAAATAGCCTGAATTTCAAGATTTCTGATTTAAATTTTTCAGCTTTTTCCCCTATAAGTTCTTTATTTCTTAAGGTGATTACTTCAAACTTTAAATATAAGTTTCTGGTCATCAACCACATCATATGTGACAAGGTTTACAACTCTAGCACAAAAATTATCAGTATTACCTCCCTTGAACTTAGAATTTTTATGAAAAAAAATGTTGTCTTTTTTTAAATAACTTCTTTATTTCCTAATGTATCTACTTCAAACTTCATATATATGTTTCTTATTCTCACTCAACATTTTTGAGAAGGTTAAAATACTCTAGCAAGACTATTTCCAGAATTATGTCCCCCTTGAACTTAGATTTTTTTCGAGAAATTGGTATTTTTCACTCCAACTTCTTCATTCATTATAGGATTTACTTTCAAATCCCACATCGTAATAAATATGACAAGGTTGTATAAACATAATTTCCTTACTAGGCAGGGAAACTTAACACATTACTGTGATATAGACAAACTTAGAACTCAAAAGATTTAAGTTCATTCATGTCATTCATTCACTGGTAAAATTGACTGGCCAATGGCCCATCAGAAAGTTGCTGGGGTTCTAACAGGTAGGGGACTTATGGATTGCTTGCAATACTATGATAATTGCTTGTTTGATATAAAATATCTGGAGTTAGCTGGAATTGTCATTACTTTGTTATTATTTACAGATTTGATTCATGCTTGGACAAACAAACACAAAACCAACATGTTGAATTTTTCTGATATAACTTTGACATTTAAAATGACCATTACCTCCAAGGTTAAACAATTGAAATTCGATCACATTGTCATAACTTTGTTTTTGTCTATGATTTGATTCATTCTTGGACAAAAGAACAATTATCATTCAACTATGACCTTTACTATTCAAATTTGAAATTTACTTTATACATTTATATTATGTTTTCTAGGAGTACTCTAATAGATATTACAATATTCTCCTACTGATGTGTTTGACTTCCAATATAAGAAAAAGCCGAGCATGGCCCAGGCTAGATAGTGGCTCTTGTTTTCAATGCCAACTTGATTATATGTATCCATTCCAATTTACATTCTCACATGTATTATCTATTGTGCTTGAAAGGTTTCTACAAAAAACAAGTTTGTTCTTACAGTCCTGGTTTTATTTTAGAAATATTTTAAAGACAGTTAAATTTTCTGTTTATTTTCTATCTGCATAATCATTTCTTGGAATAAATATAGTAAGTACACTGATTTATGTGTTATACACTCACATAAGGAAGTACTTTACATGAAAATTGGTTAAACAACTGTAGTTTCCCAAACAAAATCCAATGTCATAATTTAAAATGTTTATTCATGATATATATATGATATCAATTATGCATTTTGCCTGGGTTTGTTAGTATGTTCTTGGTACATGATTTTCAATTTTGACAAGAGTTTGGAGGCGATACTATTATATTGTGTACAA